TCTCCCATCCCTGGTGATCACTAATTGACTTTATGTACTATAGCTTGCTGTTTCTAGAATTTCATATAAATGTGGTCATGTAGTGCATAATCTTTAGCATTTAATTTCTTTGACTTAGTTTTACATTTTTGAAATTAATTCATGTGTAGATTAATATTTCATTCCTTTTTATTGCTGACTATTATTATAAGTATGGACATAATTTGTCTATTCACCAGTTGATAGACATTTAGATTACTTCCATTTTGGGCCATTGTGAATAATGCTATTATGAACATTCATATACTAAGTCTTTGTGTGAACATACATATTCATTTTTCTTAAATAAATGACTAGGAGTAGGGCTGCTGCATAGAATATTAAGTGTATATTTAACTTTATAAAATACTCTCAGATTGTATTCCAAAGTAGTTGAACCATTTTTATCCCCACCTACTACTCCCATCATTGGGAATTACAGTTGCTTCACATTCTCGCACTTGGATTGGCAGTTGTTTTACCCTTAGCCATTTTAGTGGATGTGTAATCTATCTCACTGGGTGTTTTTTGTTTTTTAAGATTTTATTTAAGAGAGAGAGAATGAACAGGATGGAGGGTGAGGGAGAAGCAGACTCCCCGCTGAGCAGGGAGCCCAACGTGGGACTTGATCCCAGGACCCTGAGGTCATGACCTGAGCCAAAGGCAGATGCTTAACCAACTGAGCCACCCAGGCGCCCCTCACTGGGATTTTAATATGCATTTCTGATCACTAGTTAAGATGAACGTCTAATGTACTTATTGGCCATTCATATATCTGATTTTGTGAAGTGTCTATTCTAGTCTCTTACCCATTTAAAAAACTAGATTATCTTTTTGAGTTTTAGGAGTTCTATGTATTTTGGATATGAGCCCTTTATTAGTTTCTGCCAGTCTGACTTTTCTTTTTGTTAAGTGTGTTTTTGAAGGGCATTAGTTTTTAATTTTGATGAAGTCTACCATTTTTTCTTTTTATATTAATAGTTTTTAACACTTATGTTGAGGTCTTTGATTCAGTTTGAGTAAGTTTTTGCATATGGCATACAGTAAAGGTTGAGGGCTTTTGTCTTCTAATTATGTAAATTATAGCACTGATATGAGTGACAGCATATTACTAGAGTCAGTTCTTGCAATGATTTATAAGAAAATCAGGAGGGGCACCTGGCTGGCTCAGTCTTAGAGCATGGGACTTTCATCTCAGGTTTGTAAGTTTGAGCCCCATGTTGGGTGCAGAGATTACTTAAAAATAAGATCTTTAAAAAAGAAAGAAAGAAAATGAGGATAAAATTTTGAGAGAGACAAGACAGAGCAGGATCAAATTGAAGATTTCCAGTTAGTGGACAGGAAGCAATTATAAAAGAAAGAATTCAGAGGGGGTACAAGAAAAGAGCTCTTCACAAAAGAAGAGCTTTGGTGCCACTTATTTCAGGCATAATGAAAGGAAAACAAATGAAAACTGAAATTGATGGCAATGACAGTTTCTGTATCTAAAAATGATAGTATCAGTAATCAGAACACTGCAGTAAATCAGATTTCAAAGCAAAAATGGCTGTTTTCTGGCCTATTTTCCTTTTTTCATTAAATCTGTGTACTTTGCTGTTTAGCCATGTGAAACTCAGTTGCAACCAGATAAAAAGAGCACAGTCTAGTTACTATACAATTATAGATCAGTTCAAGTTGAAAGGCTCAAGTCAAGGACATCTCTGTAGGTATAACAAATAGGGGCTTTTAAAAGTGAAATAGGGGGCACCTGGCTGGCTCAGTGAGAGGAGTGTGCGACTCTTGATCTCAGGGTTATGAATTCAAGTCCCACATGGGGTGTAGATATTACTTAAAAAAATAAAATACTTAAAAAAAAAAAAGTGAAATAGGATTATAGTTATGCTTGCTCCATCCTTCCTCACCCACAGTTCCTACTGCACATAGGCAACTACTTTCAACTCATTTAACTGAGTCTACTGATGTTTATTCCCACATTTTATACAGCTATTTTACCTACTTTTGATTTAACCATTTTGAAACAGTATCAGCTTGGGAGCACCTGGCTGGCTTAGTTGGTAGAGCATGCGACTCTTGATCTCAGGGTTGTAAGTTCAAGCCCCACATTGGGTGTAGAGATTACTTAAAAATAAAATCTTTTATGGGCACCTGCGTGGTGCAGTTGGTTAAATGTCCAACTCTTGGGTTTCAGCTTAGGTGGGGATCTCAGGGTTCTGAGATCAAGCCCCCTGTAGGGCTCTGCACTCAGCGTAGAGTCTGCTTAAGATTCTCTTCTCCCCCTGCTCTCTCTAAGAAATAAAATCTTTTAAAATACATCATTTATATATGTAGTCTGATTGGTAACATGCAGGGATCCAGAAAATTTCCTGCATTCATTTTGCTTTGTACTTTCTCTGGAACTCCTTTAGGAAATGTTGAACCTCCACTAACCCAGGAATTTTCCAATCATTATTTCTTTCTCCCTTCCTTCTTTCCATTCTTCTTTTTTTTTATTCTGGGAGATTTCCTGGAATTTTTCCCCCCAAACTATTGAATTTTTGAGGTCAACATTATATTGTTTATTTGTAAAAAGCACTTCTTTATAGAACCCTGTTAATATTTCAGTGCTATACAACCTCTTAGCTTTCTGTAATACTAATTATAGTATTGTATATGTGTGTTCTTTTGTTCCTTTCTTTGTTTTTTCCTATTTGTTTTGATCTGTCTTTCACCTCGGGCTTTCATCAAATTTTTTGATCTTTAGTGTTATATTAATATTTAACATTGAGGTACCTGAATTATTACTATAATCTATGTGCATGGTTGGGGCTTGTAAAATAATGGGCTTCACTGTGCACCATTCAGTCAGATATCTAGATGTTTCTTTTATATGACTTTATATGTTAATATCTATAAACGCTCTCATGGCCTTCTCATTTTTTCAGAAAAGAACCCTTCCATTGTCTGACACCAGCAACCACCAGCATTTCTTTTTTTTTTTTAAGATTTTATTTATTTTTATTTTATTTTATTTATTTATTTTATTAAGATTTTATTTATTTATTCATAAGAGACAGAGAGAGAGAGAGAGAGAGGCGGAGGGAGAAGCAGGCTCCCAAGGAGCAGGGAGCCTGATGCAGGACTCGATCCCAGGACGCTGGGATCATGACCTGAGCCGAAGGCAGACGCTTAACCATCTGAGCCACCCAGGCGCCCAACCACCAGCATTTCTAACAAGCAGCAGTAGAAAGGGGTTGGGACCCTAATCTGCATATGAACTTTTACTTACTACCTTCTTTTTAATATGTTACTCTAATCTTCTTTGCCTATCATCACTAAATTTGGAGCCTCCCAGTTATACCATCAGCTGCTGCTTTTATAATCATTTTTATAAATCTCACCTTCCACTCAACCAGTCTCTCCAGTTATAGAGCCTTTGTGTTGACAGCTGTGTCACAAATTACCTTGCTTCTAGGTGGCATCCTCTTCTGCTGGCTTTTTATTTAAGTCATTCGATTCTGCTGTTAATTTATAGTTCTTTATTTGCTTTCCTTTCAGAATTTCCTAAAATTTTTCATCCACTCGGGTCTCCTCAACCTCTTAATGTTTATGAGTATATGCCCTTCATCCTCTTACTGTCATTTTAATGGAGTTTCAGAAAGATATAGAATCTTACTTAACCACACATCCTTTTTAATAATTCTTCAATTCATTTTACTTTTTTTTTTTCCCTTCATCCTAGGCTCTCCCAGTTTTATGTTTTTGTCCTTTCATCCTGTTTGTCACCTGTTCTTTATGTTTTATTTTACTTATTTTTAAAGTGTACAAAGTTACATTTAAAAGCAGTTTAAGGGGCACCTGAGTGCCTCAGTCAGTTAAGTGTCCAACTCTTGATCTCAGCTCAGGTCTTGATCCCAGGGTTGTGAGTTCAAGCCCCACATTGGGCCCCATGCTATTAAAAAAAATAAATAAAACATAGAAAAAGTAATAATAAAAGCAGTTTAAGCTACATGTACCTGTGAACGTTATTTGTATTTAAGCTTTCTTTTATACTGGTAGACTAGGTTTGAAATAAAGAGTCTATTTTACAATACCATATTTCTGATATTTTATTAATAATACTGGGAAAGGGCGCCTGGGTGGCTCAGTTGGTTAAGCGACTGCCTTCGGCTCAGGTCATGATCCTGGAGTCCCAGGATCAAGTCCCGCATCGGGCTCCCTGCCCAGCGGGGAGCCTGCTTCTCCCTCTGACCCTCCCCCCTCTCATGTGCTCTCTGTCTCTCTCATTCTCTCTGTCTCAAATAAATAAATAAAATCTTTAAAAAAAAAAAATACTGGGAAAAATCACAAGTATAGTGATGTTGATGGTGATGACAGCTACTTTATTGGATTTTTACTACATGCCAGGTATGGCATGTTATTAGCTCTTTTCAATGTTCTTTTTTTTTAATTCCCTTTTAGAAAAGGCCTGGGAAATTTATAAATAGATAAAGACACAACATGGAAGACATGTGAGTTAATAAGTCTCCTTCTCCATGAAAATACAGCTAAGAAAAAACTCAGAAAACCTGGGTAACAGAGAAGTATTTCCTCTGAACACAGACATTGATTAAGACTATATTTCTATGTATGGGACTCAATTTAAGGGAATTTAGAACATAATTTATACTTAAATATAAGAGAAGCTAAGAAAGAAGCATTAAGAATACAATGATGTCCTATATTTCATCCCAATCTGTAATTGTCTAATCTCAGTATAAGCAATGTAAAGTCTTTCATCATTAATTCAACTTCATTAGATACCTGAGGATTAATATTGAAGAGAAGCCATATGAATTTCATGAATGTGGAAAAGCTTTTATCTATGTCACGTGTCAAGAGATACTGAGGAATTCTTGTTGGAAAAAATATCTGTGCATGGTAAGAATGTTGGAAAGCCTTCAGCCTGAAGCAGATCTCCTTCAGCATGACCAGATTCATAGTAGAGAGAAACCTCATGAATGCAGTGAATGTGGAAAAACCTTTAGCCTGAAGCAAAACCTCATAGAGCATAAGAAAATGCATACTGGAGAAAAATCACATGAATGTACTGAATGTGGTAAAGTATTCTCTCGAGTCTCATCCCTTACTCTACATTTGAGAAGTCATACAGGAAAGAAACCATATAAATGTAATAAATGTGGAAAAGCCTTCAGCCAGAAAAGAAACTTCCTTTCTCATCAGAAACATCATACCGGAGAGAAACTTTATGAATGTGGGAAAGCTTCTATTCAGATGCCAGGCCTCATTAAACACCAGAGAAATAATACTGGAAACAAACCCTATGCATGTAAGGAATGTGGAAAGGCCTTCAATGGCAAATCATATCTCACGGAGCATGAGAAAATTCATACGGGAGAGAAACCATTTGAATGTAATCAATGTGGAAGAGCCTTCAGCCAGAAGCAATACCTCATTAAACATCAGAATATCCACAGTGGAAAGAAACCCTTTAAATGTAATGAATGTGGAAAAGCCTTTAGCCAGAAGGAAAACCTCATTATCCATCAAAGAATACATACTGGAGAGAAACCTTATGAATGCAAAGGATGTGGGAAAGCTTTCATTCAGAAGTCAAGCCTCATTAGACACCAGAGAAGTCATACAGGAGAGAAACCCTATATATGTAAAGAATGTGGGAAAGCCTTCAGTGGCAAATCAAATCTCACTGAGCATGAGAAAATTCATATTGGAGAAAAACCCTATAAATGTAATGAATGTGGAACAATCTTTAGGCAGAAGCAATACCTCATTAAACATCACAATATTCATACAGGAGAGAAACCCTATGAATGTAATAAATGTGGAAAAGCCTTCTCTCGAATCACATCACTCATTGTACATGTGAGAATTCATACGGGTGATAAACCTTATGAATGTAAAATATGTGGGAAGGCCTTCTGTCAAAGCTCATCTCTTACTGTTCATATGAGAAGCCATACAGGTGAGAAGCCCTATGGTTGTAATGAATGTGGGAAAGCCTTCTCTCAGTTCTCAACTCTTGCTCTACACATGAGAATCCATACTGGAGAAAAACCTTATCAGTGTAGTGAATGTGGGAAAGCTTTTAGCCAGAAGTCACATCATATTAGACACCAGAGAATTCATACTCACTAAAGCTCTATGAATGCCTTGAATTTAGGAAAACTTTCATCAGAACTCACACTTTAATGGTATACTGAAAATTCATTTTATAATAGTGACATGAATGTGGAAAATACTTCAACAACTCAAAACTTAAATACTAACAATTTTAATAAGTATCATAGTATCATGAAAACCTATACACCCAGAACTCCCACAACAAACATTGTTAATGATATACTTTTAGGAGCAATCTCATTGACGTAAGGATCCAGTCATGAACATTAATCAGCATGGTTCTGGAAGGCCTACCTGATGCATTAAGAGGTATAAAGATTTGACATTAAGAGACAAAATTGTCATTTAAAAAATGTTTTGCTATACATGTAATCAAAATTATTTGTTCTTGATTCATTTGTAGAAATCAGAGATTGGGACAGAATATTGTATTCAGAAACATGCATGCCTTTATGGGGAATTGTTAATTGATAGAGGTGGTATCAGAGGTTGGTAGAGAAATTAAATCATGGATGATTCAAAAAATGGTCTCAGGGTAACTGACTCTTCATGTGGAAAAATATTAGATCTCTGCTGTAGTAATACATTAAAGTATTTATTATGAAATCCAAAAGTATTGAAGATTAGAATGCAAAAAGCAAAATTTAGTAATATAAGAATTTTATAGGAGAGTGTTTTTAAAACCTTGGGGTAGGAGGGAATTTCTAAAATAGATTCCAGGATACTCACTCTTGAGTATACATGCATATCCCCAAGAAACTGATACATGTACCTAGGGAGTCATGTATCTTTATGTTCATTGAAGCATGAATTACATTAGCAATGGCTGTTGCTTGTGAAATGGATAATAAAATGTGATATAGGCATACAGTAGAATATTCTCTAGTAGTTAAGTATAACAGGTGATATATATATATATAAATATATTAACAGAGAAAGACCCGAAAAGTCATGTAGAGTAAAAACAATGAAGGGATAAATATAATCATAACTGTGAATATTAAATCAACACTAACAAACACTAGTATTAAGCATTGATTATGGATAAACATTTTTATGTAAAACTGAAGAATGGATTGGAAAGATACACACTCAATTCCCAAAGGTGGTTGCCTCTAGAAAGAATGGTAGTGGAAAAGAAATGGGACCAAGCATGGTAGTTAAGGATACTTCAGTTTTGTATCTAAACACCTATCATTAAAAAGAAATAAAGATTCCAAGTAAATATAACAAAATGTTAGTTACCTCTGGGTTGTGGTAATATATGTGTTCTATTGTTTGTGCTATTTCTGAAAATTAAAAAAAATAAAGATAGGAGTAGGAAAGCTGTACCTGGAGTACAGGTAATAACAGACTCACAATCCCAGATAACTAATATTTTATAGGAAATATTTCTAAAATCTTATCTTTACTATAAGTCATTTTTTAAAATTGGGATGGTAGCTTAATTTAAATTTACTCTTGCATGTGACATCACTAATCTGTGTGATCTCTACTTAGAAGTTATAGCATTTGATTGTACAACAGGTTGGTATTACATACATTTAAGGATCATACCATACCATTTAATAATACATGCACAGACTTGATATTAAGAATTGGTTTTTACCGGAACATTTATCAGAAACTTTAAAAGTCCACATATCCAGTATTGGCATTAAGGATTTGGTATTTTAAAATGAGGAAACCAAATTACCCTTAATTTTTAAATATGCCACTGAGTAAAATGTCAACTCTTGCATTTCACCTTCAATTTTAACCTCATTTTTTTCTCTATTCTGCCAGATATACTCAACCAATAACCCCTGTTTGTTTCTTTGGGGAAAATGGTGCTAAAAAGGAGATCTGAGACCTAAACAATATTCTTTTATTTGAAGCAAATCTTTTTGAGGATTTTTGTTTACTCGGTCCCTTTCCACAACAACTTGACATATAAAAAGTTGTTAGTGCTCTTTTTGAATAGTGATAAAAATGGGTATCCAACATTTAAACCTTAGGCATATTTAAAATATATCAATTTCTTGTAAATTCAAAATAATGAAATGCTAATAGAACCATACTACTATACTGCTTGTTAATGGTTTTGAAGGTTAGTCTTGAGGTAACATTATAAATGTCAGGGATTGATTTCCTGGGGTAATATACCCAAATAACATGTGTATCTACATGAATCTAAATTATCCTCTATTTTCTTCCATTCCTCATTAAGCATTCCCCTCACATTTCTTAAGTGTTTTGCTTGCCTTTGAGCTTGTGCAGCTTTGAAGTCACCAGAACAACTAAGAACTCTCAATTCAGACCAAACTAGGAGGATTACCTTTTGGTGCCTGTAGTTGGTTAGTGCCAAGGTGCAACAACAATAAATAGGATATCACATAGAGTAAGATGAGTAGTATCTGAGTACTATCACAGATATTTTGACATTTCACTATAAATAGTGTCAAATTTACTGACATCCCCCTATTGATTCGACTTTTTGCTAGTTATTTGCCACCACAAACAATACTACAGTAAACACTCTTAAAATCAGACCTTAAATTTCAGATGTTTTTATTTCTAGGGGATAGGTTACAGGCAAGAGAGTGTTAGATCAAAGGACGTATGCTATTATTTTAAGAGGTGCTATTAGTCATTTTCAAAAACACAACTTTCCTCTAACCCTGCAACAGATGGTAACGTACTACTCAAATTCATATTTGTCTGATGAGTGTAACCACTTGCTCCTAGCTTCTTTGTAAATTTTCACATTGTTAGCTCATTTTGAAGTCCTCTTTATGTATTAGACATTAGGAATTTGTCTAATTTTTGTCATAAAAATGATTTTTCCATAAAAATACCCTAAATTTCTGTGTAACTAGATATGTATTAATTTTTTCTAAGCTTATGGATTGATTAAGAAGATACTTTAATCTCTAGATTGTAGATTTCTTAGGTTTTCTTGCAAGTTAATGTTTGCATTTTTCAATATGTAAATATTAGTCCATTTAGAACTTAATTTTTAATGTCATATGAAATGAGGATTCCTTGTTATTTTCTTCCAGATGGGTTTCCAGTTATACAAGCACAATTTGTTAAAATAACCCATCTATTCAGCAGCCAGTCACACAGTTCTGACACCAACTTGTGGTGTCCCCCAGCAGCAATCACAGATTTGAACGAGCAATCAAAAAAAACAGAACAGGCTTTAACAAAGTTTATTATTAGCCTTCCCTGACACACACAAAAACCAAACTACAACAAAACAAAACAAACAAACGAAAACAAAATCGCCTTCACAATACTACAACTGCCCAAGCAAGCACGGCTTCCAGGGCCTCTGCCCTGCTCAGGGGAGAGGTCAGAATGGGTGTGGTTCACCTAAGCACTGGGAAACATTAACATTCTCATCCAGGACGTCTTATGATAACCCACTACTGCAACTGCATGGTGTGCCCCCATCCATGCAGCACACCCATTTGTAACACTGATACCCACTTAAGCACAAGGGAAGCTGCTGCCTTGGTTTCCCAAGACTTATGATGCCTTAGTCACATAGGCTATCGATGTCTACATGCCAAGTCACAGCGCCCCCTATCCCCATCCAGGTACAGGATACACATGAAGAATCTACAGTAGTATTTTCATCAGGGAAACTGGCAGAAAATCAAATCTAAGGTCATCTTTCCAGACAAGGGTCAGGGGGAGAGGCCTATTCTTAATTCTTTACCAATACCATCCTTTCCTATTCAACTGAAACTCAGATATGTAATCCTTTAACCACATGATTTTTTCCTCATTCAACTGAAACTGCCTTGTACTTTCATTTATACCAAGACCTATTTTCTGTATTCTCTTGTTTCACTAATCTATTTTTCTACTTCTATACTAATACCGTATTAATTGATAAATTGATTTAACATTAGCCGTATTGTATTTTGATACTGCATAATAGACCAGCTCCTCCTTGCTGTTTTTCATAGTTTTATTGGCTATTCTAAGTTAATTTTCTTCCTATATAAATGAAGACTGTGTTCTCAAAATACAAAAACCCTTTGATAGTCTAGTTGGAACTGCATTAAATTTATATATTTATTTTGGGAGAAATGACATTTTTTATTTTGTCTTTCTGACCCAAATCATAGTGTGCCTTTGCATTTGTTCAAACTATAATCATGTCTTTCAGCATGAGGGTCCTAAACAAAGTAATTTGAATGCCATCCCTGCTTAATATATATTTTGAAAAGTTTGTCTGTTCGGTGAATGAGGAGAATCCCTATTATGAACTAACGTTTGTAGCCCACTCAGAATTCATACTTTGAAGCCCTGATCCCTAGTGTGATGGTATTTGGAGATGGGGCTATAAGGAAGTAATTAGGTTTAGATTAGGTCATGAGGGTGGGACACTCATGATGGGAACAGTACCCATATATAGAAGTGGAAGAGAGAGACTGTAAGAAGGGATTTCTTTCCATGTGTATACACTGAGGAAAGATCATGTGAGTATAGCACAGTGAGAAAGCAGTTGTCTACACCAGGAATTGGACCTTCACCAGGATTTGCCAGCACTTTGATGTTGGAATTTCCCAGCCTCTAGAACTGTAAGAAATAAATGTCTGTTATTTAAACCACGCAGTCTGTGGTATTTTGTTATAATGCCTGAGCTAAGACAATCCCTTTTCTGCTTAATTCTCCTGTGCTCCTAATATGTGGTAAGACAAAAGCACTTTTCATTAGGAGAGTAAAATCCCAACTACATTATTAATAAGGTCTGTAATTTTTAGCAATTTATAAAACTTCCCCCACCATATTCATTTAAAAATAAAAATTGTTGGAACAGGAAAAGTGAAAAATACAGTTCCTGGGGTGACATCTTGAAAATGTTGAACTAGGAATCCCCAAGCTATCATTCCCCTACAGAAACTGGAAAAAAACCAAAAACTTCCTGAACCAACTTTGTAGTATCTCTGGAAAACAGCTGTTTATAGAAACAAGCAAATGCCCAAACAAGTCAAACGCCATCTTCAAATGTTAGTAATCTTTTGTGTCATTTTTATTCTTGCCCCAACTCTCCCAGGTGTGGTATTGATATGGTCTTGAGCAGGTGGCAACCCAGTTTCCCCCCTCAAACTGGAGGAAACAGAATGGACCATGTTTGCAAATTATTGTATACATCTGTTCTAACCTGTCTTGAGGATACATGAAGGAATGATGCAAGCATCATCTGTTTCACATTACTCAATGCAGGTGGGAAAAGGAGCAGGAACTGCTCATAAAACCTACAAGGTGGGGACGCCTGGGTGGCTCAGTCAGTTAAGCGTCTGCCTTTGGCTCAGGTCATGATCCTAGGGTCCTGAGATCGAGTCCCACATCGGGCTCTCTGCTCCGTGGGGAGCCTGCTTCTCCCTCTG